GCATGGACTTCCAGGAATCCCTTCAATTAGTCTACTGCAATCTTTTCCAACCAGTTCTAGGGCTCCAACTACAACAGGGATTGTTGATGTTCCTATATGCCACATTTTCGAGATTTCTGTTTCAAGGTCCTTGTATTTTGACAGCTTTTTGAATATCTTCAAAGATATATTGCAGTCAGCAGGGACTGCCATATCAATAAGGAGGCACCGTTTTTGTTTGTAGTCTTATAACAATATCTGGGCGGTTGGCTTTGTTTGTTTTGAGTGTGTATTGTGTAGTCCCATAGAATTGTAACAGGTCCCATCTCCGTAACCGGGTCTGGGTGGTGTTCTTCTTCTTCTTATTATTATTATTATTATTATTATTATTATTATTATTATATCCCTTGATTTCTGTTGTATACACCTTTCCACTTTCTGCCCTGACACCTGCTAGTGTATGCTGATCTAACATGTCAAGTTCAAATTCTAGCAAATTCAATTTCATTTACTTTCACATAAATACCATCAGAAAGGTATGAATATATCTCTTCTCAATCTGGCTTTTAGTTAAATTGCAGTGTAGACTGGTTTCACTAACCATTAATAGTTTTAGATAAAAATTAATATTATTACTTTTTAATAAAAAAATTAACATTGATATTTTTTTAATTGTTGTGTATGATACACCTAATTTACATAAGCGGACTACCGACCATATAAATATGGGTTGGTACCGGAAGACGGGGAAGATAGTAGAGATTAAGAAATTGAATCCAGAGACTCTGCCCGACTGCGATTTAGTCAACCCATTATGCAGGAACAGTCTTCCCAAGAATATACCAAACTAACTGTAAATATTGTGTACCTATTCTTTGTTTCAATACATTTTGTTAACGTACATTTTGTGTTGTATTATTCCATGCTTATTTAAGCTTCAACATTAATAAAGAGATATCATTAATATTTTTAGATAAAAGAATTAAAATTATTATTTTAAAATAAAGAATTAACTTTAATATTTTTAAATAAAGATTATATTTAGTAATAATAAAAAACCACTATCATCTTCACATTTACTTTCATCTTTTATATTAAATTATTTGATGGACAATATATATATATATATATATATATATATATATTTGGTTGGATTGATGTGAGTTTGTGCAACCAAATATGTTAGCTCGATCTCTGATATTGAGCGCTTTCTAATAAGTACCGCGCATATAATGTATAAATAATTATATATATATATATATATATATTTATTTATATTTCTATACACACACTTTTCACACTTCACATATATATATATGGAAGTGTGTGTGTGCATATATTAATTTATATATATATATATACATATATATAAATCCTATACATGTGCACACAGATATATATACACACACACATGCACATACACACATATCGATGTGTGCATATATATATCTCTCTCTCTCTCTCTATATATATATATATATATATATATATATATATATATATATATATATATATATATATTTAATTTCTATATATATATATATACCTACACATATATACATACACACACGCGAGTTCGCATGTGTATGTATATATATATATATATATATATATATATATATATATATATCCTAGAGTTCAAAGGTTTGAAGCCACCTCCAGAATTAGTCATTGAAAAGAGAATGGAATCAATTATCAAACTTATACATTAGAAACTTTTGCAACAAATGCTAAAAATCTGGGCTGCAGTAATCAAAACTAAAGGAGGCTATTTTGATAAGAGCAAAATTTTATAATAAAATGCTTCTTTTTTTTTTTGTTATAATAAAATTTCTAAAAAAATCACATCTCACATGGGAAACCTATTTCCCTGAAAATCTTTTTAATCAAAATATTTGATTAGTAATGGCTGCTTGGGGAATGAATTTTTAATGTTTCCTGGTAGGGAAGCAGTTAATATACCATTACCATTATCATATATATATATATATATATATATATATATATATATATATATATATATATAAACAGACCACTTTAAGGTTCCATGTAATAAATTATTTCACCACAGCCCTTTTTAAAGGACTGCGGATCATCAAAAATCAGATGATCCACAGTTCTTTAATAAGGGTTTTGTGAAATAATTTATTACATGGAACCTTAAAGTGGTCTGTTTTATTTAAATTATTTGCTCTGGATTTACATTGAGCTCTCTGGATTTTATCCTCCTTAGGTTTACCCATACGGATTACCTAGTTTTTTTATAAATATATATATATATATATATATATATATATATATATATATATATATATATATATATATACTTAGTTGTATGGATGTGAGTTTGTAACCCTGGTTTCACATTTTGGGATACTCAGAAAAATTTTTCTGAGGATCACATCCATACAACTCAATATGTTAGCTCTATCACTGATATTGAGTGCTTTCCAATAAGTACTGCACATATACAATATATAAATAATATACATATAAATTACCCATATATATATATATATATATATATATATATATATATATATATATATATATATTATATATACATATATATATATATATATATATATATATATATATATATATATATATATATATATATGGTATAAAATGACAATTGAAAAAAAAATCTTAGATTTTTTGACGCGTTTCGTCTTCCGACTTTTTAAAGACAAATATGTGATCGAAATGTATTTGTTGATATAGTTACATTAAAAAAATCCAAATTTAAAAAGATAGACGCTTCTAACTATATATATATATGTATATATATATATATATATTCATTACAGCAAAAATTATAAATGCATTCACTGAGATATTATGAAATGAAAAACTCTTACTCAAGCCTAGAGAACCAGTTTTATCACACTATGGACAATTTGTGAGAAGCATCAACAATAGATAAAAAGTATATTTTTAAATAATTTGAAATCCTACCATTATACCTGTTAAAAAATCATACAATTATTTACATACTGAGTGACACTTCAACCTAAGAACAAAGTCTAGGATCTGTTCACCCTGTCTCGAACCAAAGAGATTCTTCCCAGCACTTAGATCAAACTACAGTAACTGCACATGCTCTCTTGAATCAAAGGAGACCTCCTCAGCAGATCTACCTCAGATCAAAGTGTAGTATCTGTTGACTCTATCTCAAATCAAAGAGGTTCTCCCCAGCACTTCTACCTTGTATTAAAGTGTAGTATTTGTGCACTCTGTCTCAAATCAAAGGGATTCTCCCCAGCACATCTACCCTGGATCAAAGTGTAGTAACTGTGTTTGCTCTCTCAAATCAAAGGAGATCTCCTCAACACATTTACCTAGGATCAAAATGTGGGTCTATGAACTCTGTCTCAAAGAGGTTCTCCCCAGCACTTCTCCATTGCATCAAAGTGTAGTATCTGTGCATGCTCTCCTGAATCAAATGGGTTCTCCCCAGCACTTCTACCTACGAACATTCAATCACTAAAGTTAAGCAACACCTAGCCTAGTCAGTACCTAGTTTGATAAGCCATGAAAAAACAAATCAATCTACCTAAGACCAAAGTATACCCTCAAATCAAAAGTATTCTCACAAAGGATCAAGGTGTAGTATCTGTGAACTCTCTGAAAAATGTTACACAAAAATAAAGAGATGGATTAACACTGTCATCCAGGGTGCAATGAATAAAATGTCGTCTAAATTACGCAAAAAATGAAAATAACACTGACACTTTCAACATTTTAACATATTTAACAGAGTTACAAAAAAATAAGCTTGAAAACTAAAGAGTAAATTTATCCAATGAGATCATCATTGGCTTCATCCACGGCCTCCAGACGACTTTGGAATTACCTGCAAAGCTTCTGCACAGTCTCCTTATTTAAATTGGTGAATGCTGTCAGAATTCTTGCCTTCAGTTCATCTTTGGTGTTTCAAGTAGTTTTTTTGTTTTTGTTTCTCGCTCGACTGCGCCCCACGCATAATAATCTAGGTGGTTGCAGTCTGGGGAGTTAGGTGGCCAAATGTAAGGGGTGATGTGATCACAGAAATTGTCTGACAGCCATGACTGATTTCTCCTACTTCTGAGGTATGTTATAGTGCTGTTGCCAGATATAAGGTCTTCCCAGGTCAGCACTACCTCCTTAAGGCACTTGATGTAGGCCTCCCTGTTGAGTCTGAAGCCCAGTGGGAAGATGAATGGAAGCATAACGTCGCCATCACTAGTCAGAATAATCGGAGTGAGCTTTCCTAGCTGCTGTACCTTCGTAATCACCATTAGACTCATCCAACTCTTACTGAATACTCTGTACTGTCCTCAGATTGTCATCCAAACACTCTGAAATGTTCGTGTTTGAGCTTCTGACGCAAATGCAAACCAGTGCAGCATGCCGTTTTCAAATTTCTGGCGGGGTGAACTGTGTGATGGTGCTCTTTTTCTCATAAATAGTACCCAACTGACCCTACTATACTTTGCAATCGACAAAATAAAAAAAAATAATGTGCATGCTCGAAATTAAAAATATAAAATGGCAACAATTTACCCATCGTACTCTGTATGTGAATCTCTGATTTTGTGGTTAAAATACCTGTCATGAAATTAAAATACCAAATTTTAAGTTGGGCGATCACTAACTCTTGACTTTCAAAGTTATTATTAAAATGTTGTCAAAAGGCTGACAGAATGAAGAGGAAAGAGAAAACGCTTTTTACAATGTGATATCTTCCGTGAATTTGAACTAAAATTATTTGAAATTTGTTTTGGAATGATTATTTTTCCTAATGTTTTTTTTCCTAGTAAATTATTTATAGCATTACTTTTGAGGAAAAGCATTTTTATAAAAAAGAAAAATTTTGTTATAAAACATTTGTACAAAGTCTGAGTAAATATGGTGAAAGGAAGACTGAAAAATAAGATGCAAAACTTTTCTTACTTATATATATATATATATATATATATATATATATAGAGAGAGAGAGAGAGAGAGAGAGGAGAGAAGGGGGAGAGAGATAATTGTACAGAGATGATTGAAGAAAGAACAGGGATGGGATTGATATATATATATATATATATATATATATATATATATATAAATGGCAAGAATATATAAATAGATAGATAGATAGATAGATAGATAGATAGATAGATAGATAGATAGATAGATAGATAGATAGATGATTAAAGAAAACAGAGAAAGATGATACTGTCATATATATATATATAGATAGATAGATAGATAGATAGATAGATAGATAGATAGATAGATGAAGAAGAAGAATGAATATATATATATATATATATATATATATATATATATATATAAAGAGAGAGAGAGATAAATGAATGAAGAAAAAAGATGGGATTGATATATATATATATATATATATATATATATATATATATATATATATAAACTGAGAAGAATAGATAAATAGATACATACATACATGCATACTTTTAGAGAGATGATTGAAGAAAAAACGGAGAAATATAGAAGTGACATATATATATATATATATATATATAGATAGATAGATAGATAGATAGATAGATAGATAGATCTGAAGAGACTGCAAAAAAAAATAAACACTGACTAAATAGACTGGTATTAACAATGAGACGGTGATGGTTCTCTTCATATCAAGAGATGGCGTTTCAATTCTTTCATCTTCTAATGCATTTCATCTATTTTTTAATTTTAATTTTTTTTTTATTTTGTTGCTTACCACTCCCATCAGAAAATTCAACAGCTCCCCCAAAAAGTAAACATCTATCTCCCCACACTACTACCCCATCCTCGTCCTCTCTCTCCTCCCCCCCCCTTCTTACACACACGCACACAGACATGCACAATGTTTTAGCACGTTCGGCATTTCACCTGTTCCACTATGCTATTATTATATCGAGTTTGACTTACCTTTCATCTGCGGCGGGCGGGTGGTCGGTCGGCCTTGTAGCAGGTGGGTTTCTTGTTAAGAAAAGAAATAAAGAAAATCTTGTCGTTGACGGACAACAAAGAAAATAGACCGTTCCAGACAGACCAATTTTAGGGGTGGGCACGGAACGACGGACAGGGACATGGATGGCTCATCTGATGTTACAAACTTCTCCGTCACTTACTGACCGTCGTAAATCGCCTTTCCGCAGCTCGATCACTCCAAGTGACCATTCGCTAGTTACATTAAGAAATCATACACCTTTTCTCTTTACGATATGTTGTTTACTTACGTTGCCTCGGGAGACCGACCAATAGGTTAGGTGACTGCTCCATGTACCCGCGAGTATAAACTGATATGCCTCATGGAAGAGGAGAGGCACCTTGATTAATTCGAGGCTTTGTTTGATTGTTTGTTTGTTTAACAGGAAAATAGCGTCGAACACGAAAGAATTTCAACATGGACGCCCAAAGAAAGACACACAATGTAATATAATTTATATACGCGCACTGAGGGAATGGGTCAGTCAGTGGCTCATCTGGAAATGACGTGTATCGCACTGCGAATTATATAGCAATTGGTTCTAACCCAGACGAGGCCAAGATTAACTATCACTCTACGGATTATTTAATTCGGATTAGAATACAATACAACAGCCATTGGACATTCACAGTATCTATTTAACATTATTTTCTTTCTTAGTATAGTTTACTTAATACAAGGCCTAAGATCCCCTCAAGGTAGAGACTGAATGAGGAGTGTTATATAAAATGTAAGAGGACGAAGAAGAAAGTAAATATTATGAGAATATAGTGGATAGTTAACGATTGACCTGAGACTTGAAGAATTTAAGGTGTTCGGGGAAGCATCCAAGTGGGAGTCAGTTCCACAAAGTAGCCTTTCCTGAGAAAAAGCTTTCGGGGCATACACATCCACAAACACTCTTGTTTATGTCGGAATGCTTGAGTTTTATTATTATTGCTAGTTCGATACCCGTCATAAACTTTGCACGGTGGGGACAAGAGGAGGGAAGTCGCCCCCGGGTGCTGAAGTGAAGGAGCGCAAATTTTCGCTTGGCAAGAAACATTCATCCATAGTTTAATGTATTCATGAATGCTATTTTTGTAAAATATTTTTTTTTGTGTAAACCCGAGTAAATCTATAAGATCTGTCCTGTTTCACTTTCAAAATGAGAATGATGCAAATGAAAATGGGAATGGTGCCAATAAAAATGGGGATGGTACGAATGATAATGAATATGGTTTCGTTTATTTTGTTTTACAGCCTATAAACCTCAATGGATTAATGCCGACAATATTTTTAGGATAGATTCGTATGAATAGAATATGTATTCTTTGGTTTAGATTGGTTTGGTTTATTTTGTTTTACGGCATATCAACCACAATGCGTTATTTAATGCCGAGAAAATTTTTTATTGCTGGTAATATTTTGTTTTGTCAAAAATCTGTTTCTGGTAATATTTTTCCTTCAAAATTGTATTGCTGGTAATAGTTAACTATTTGCCCATAGCTGGATCCCTAACAGGTGCTACAACCCCAGGTCAGGAATTAAAAAGTGGCTCCACGCTCCTCAAACCTTCTGATCAGAGGCCTTGCTGCTGGACGTAGTTTATCGTCTTACTCAGGACGGATAATGAATATGGTACCAATTAAAATAGGGATGTTAGGGAAGAAAATGGGAATGGTACTAATGGAAATAAGAATGGTGCCAATAAAAATGGAGATGGTACCAATGAAAATGGGAATGGTACTAATTAAAATAGGAATGGTACCGATGAAAATGGGGATGGTACCAATGGAAATGAGAATGGTGTTCATAAAAATGGGGATAGTACCAATGAAAATAGGAACGTTACCAATGAAAATGGGAATGATAGAAATGAAAATAAGAATGGTACCAATGAATATGGGAATGGTACCAATGGAATGGAATGGTGCCAAAAAATGGAGATGGTACCAATGAAAATAGGAATGGTAAAAATGAAAATAAGAATGGTACGAATGGAAAATGAGAATCCTAACAATAAAAATGGGGATGGTACCAATGAAAATGGGAATAGTATCAATGGAAATAGAATAAAAGCATTTTTTTTTTAATTAGTCTGGATTGACAATAGGTATTCATGCAATGTGGGTATATAGGGCAAGATATGTTTGGGTGAAAGGTGTCCGACTTGAGTGGCCTTTTCAGAGTCTTAAAGCATCGGTGAAGGAGCGAATTTCACTTCAGCACCAACCCTACGTTAAGCTCGTTTCTCTTTGCTAGGTTAGGAATTATGGCATTCGAACCGAGGCTTTATTTTCGATCCTTTGCGAAATTCTTATTTTTATCTTTCCTTTTTTGTCTTGCAAATGATGAATGGCTTTCCAAATAACTTCCAGAACTCTGAACAAGAGACACAGCATTGATTCATTGTAGCTATTACATTGAAAAATAACAATACTGGATGACATGAATTTTAAAAAGATTTGCAACTTATATAAAAGCATACTTATTATAGAGCTCTAATTCAATTCGTTCCATTTTTACAATTACGATATTTGGGATTTTATTTTTCGCTTGGGTAAAGTAGTAATTGATTCTTTTTTTTATTGTCATTCAGAGGCTGATAAATCACAAAGCATATGGCCAAACATTTCAATGGTAACTAAGCTCGGGGTGCCAAAACTGTGGCCATACCCAGGCAATAAGAACCCTTACTGAACCACTAGTGCCTGTCGATTTATGCAAGATGGTTAAATTTAAAATATAAATTGTTTTTTGTTTGTTTGTTTTTTTTTCATTTAAAATACTTCATTTATTAGAAAATCCATTCATTAAAATACGGAAGTCTTATTTCAGTTTATATATTTTACCTCTTTTCCAGGGGTTGTTGCCAGACAGGGAATTTATCCTTCTCGACAAAGATGTCTATTTCAATTTCATTCAAATTTTGTGTATATGTACATTTATGTGCAATGTATATTTTAGTACAATGAAAAACCGAAAAATATTTATAAAAAATTTTAAAAAATACTTTTAAAAATACTTTATTAATTACCGAATAATTTCAGAAATGTTCAATAAAATCTGATAATTATTTGATTGTTTAGGTTTTTTTCTTATTTCCAACTTAAGAATTTTATTACTCAACACAGAGTTCAGACTGAGTGATTGGGTAATGTATTTCAATATCTTATTTCAAACTAAGACTGTATAGACGTGTGTACGTGTGCTTGTCTATACATTAAATAGCAATAGTAAGTTAATCAAATGATTTATTCATTTGTTAGTTTTTGAAGGCATGTTAGTTTCTTATGGGTCATTTAATGACGAAATTCCATTTTCTTAGTAGATATGAAGTAATAAAAATATGTTATTCTGCTTTCACAATTGAATACATGGTAGATGATACCCGGTTTTTGTGCATATACATTTTTGTGTGGACATGAGGCGGTGATATGTATGTTTTATATTGTAATTTTGTTGAAATTTTATTTTGGAATATAGTTTGATTTAAGAAATTATAGGATATTATATAGATTAATGTCATGAAAGAGTTTTTCATGTTGGTTAGTAGGTCGATTTTGTTTAGCGACATATCAAACTCTATGGGTTATTTAATGCCGAAATCTAAATATTTTCAACGCAAGTGTATGCCTTCAACCACTGATAAAATATATTGTTGGTCATTTTGCTATAAAATGTATTGTTGGCAATTCTATTATAAATAGGTAATGTTGGTAATTTTACTATAAATTGGTATTGTTGGTAATTTTTTTAAGTATTGATAGTATTTTTAATATATAAAAATGTATTTTTATAATTTCATAGTGTTTTGTTTTTGTTTAGAGCTTCAGTCATTTCCCATAGCTGGAGGCTCTAACAGGTGCTACTACCCCGGGTCAGGGTTAACCTGAGAACAACAGAAATTAAGAGGTGGCTCCATGCACCTCAAAAACTCCACCCTCCAGATCAGAGGCCTTGCTGTCGGATGTAGTTTATCATCATACCCACGTAAGTCAATCAAGCACAACCCAGTAATATATATATAGATATTACATGCAATGTCACAGTCAGACATCTGCGAATTGTGAGGCATTCGTTGGAATGACAGCTGAGTTGTTTCCCCTTGATTTCGTTCAAGGTTTCATCCTTCCCTTTCAGAACTCCCTACAGATCTATTTTCTTCATTATGCCATGTTTTCTTTGAAATGATAGTTGTGTTGTTTCCCGTTACCTCAGAAGTTTTCCTTTTCTTAGACTGGTTGCCATCCAAGGCTAGAGAGCCTTCACTATCCTACTATTTAACCCATAACTAGTAGGGAAAGAAATGGGTTCATACTTCCCCAAGGCTGCCAACGCGAAAGTGAATTAATGATGCCCATAGCTACGTATGTGAAGTATAAAATGAAATCGTCATAAATTGGATTTGTGTTCATTGTTTCGAACTGTAATCAACGTTTAAAATCTTTCAGTTTGACTGACATGTCGACAACTCCTTGTTCACATAGCAATTCGATACATTTTATTGATCAATTCACATGCGTTTGAAAGTTCTGAATTATACAGGCGGAATTAATTGATAAACTAAGCTAGTAGATTGCCTGAAATAGAGCGAGGCTCAGTAAACACATCTCGCAAACCATTGCTAATGCAATGAGCTCGATTGTCAAGTAGGCTTGTAACAGACAGATCCAAGTTAATCTTTTTGGGTCATCTTTAACGAAGCATAAACTAATTTTTTATATAATAAGTTCGAATCTTGGCTGTTGCTACACTATAAAACTAAGCTTAGGAAAAATATTCTAATTAATTTTAATTATTTTTCATTTTATAAAGTTTAAGTTATTATTACTCGCTTAAATGGCCATGGCTCGATATCACTTCACTTCCTACATATATTGTAATTATTTACAAATAATCGTTGTCATAAAGTTTATTATTATTGTCAATGTCATGCCACTGTGGCTGACGAAAAAGTGTGCTGATTATTTTTTTAAATGGAGGGAAATAACACCATAATTAGTTGTTAATAGATATAGTTATCTCATTGGACTGTTTGTAATACCGTATCCTCACCCCACTGGACCCACGCACTCCACCAGACCGGCCGTTGGTCCGGTATGGTCCAGGTTAGACACAAGTCTCCGGATTCCAATGTCAATTCGAAGCCACCCTCCAGCCACGTTGTGATTTTTTTTATCCTGGAGTGTGGTCATCAGATCGTAGA